AATAACTAGCATACATAGTTAGTTATTAATTGTAAAATATTAATTTTTTATAATAATTGCTTATAAAGTAAATGTTTGCTATACATTTTAGCCTAGTTGCGGTGCTGGCCCCTTAAAATAAAAATATATGAATATGAGTACATAATGTACTAATATATACGTATGTATGTACATACATATGTATGTATATACGTAGTATTTGTTGTTTTAAATTGGTGCTGTGTTTACACTATTTTAATTTGCTGTTATTTTTTTATTTATTTTTTAATGCTGCAGTAAGAGCTCATAGCTAAACTGGCGTTCGCTTTTTATTTTAATAACACTTTATGTTTGTATCTTCCTTTTGTTACAATAGCTACTTTTTTTAATTTCTCTTTGATTTGTGTACTCTTGAATGCTTTTTGTGTGTCTATTTTTTTTTTAATTATGCGAAAGAGCAAAGTATAAGCTGATGTCACTTGCTTGCCTTCAGAGTGTTACACAAGTGAAATTTTACGCAATTTCAAAAAGTTAAATTAAAATTTATAACCACACGAAAAAAAAAAAAAAAAATATTTACGGCGATTTTTTTTTCTTTTCATGGTATTTGGATATATACATACATAATATATAGATTTAATTCCTTAGTTAAGCTTAAATGAGTTGTGTGTCCTTGGCAATGAAGAGCGTGTAATTTTAAAGCATTTTATGTTCATATATCTACTACATTTTTAAAACCATACAAAAATTTGTCCATCTTTGAAGTGAATCGAAAAAATCGAATGCAGCTGTGGTTATATGCATTTCAAGTTTGTAATGTATTTTTTCCCCCCTTTTTACTAGAGAAACATCGTTAAAAATTTGCACATACATAAAATCACAAATGCATACAGTAGCTGGCAAAATGAAGTTGGTTAACTTAGGCGAGAAAAAAAGGGTGAATCAAGTGTCAGCTAATCTTAAAATGTGAAATTTCTCTTTACACATCTCGAAGTAAGGGATACTAGAGTTGGCTTGTATTAAATTTTTCAGGCATTTTGGTTTAAAAATATGTCCGTAACGTGGCCTCTAACTGTATTGGTTCGAAAGAAAACGCGCAAAAATAAGTTGATAATATAAAAATTACGCCTCTTTCATGCAAGTTGCCTTACCTGATGGATTTCGAATCAAAAATTTGGTAAGATTTAAGTTCAATAAATCATTATTAGTCTGACAGATTAATTCTTCTATTGCTTTTCATTCAAATTGCGCTTAAATCTTTTAAAGACCTTGTACTCAGAATGCAGGACAAGTACCGAGTAAATCGAGGCTATCACAGAATCCATCGTGGTTTCATTGTCGTTAAATTTATGAAAATATGAACCTTTAATCCTAATTGCTGCGAACGAGTGTATTCAAAGAATATGTTACGTTCGTACCTATTTTACGTACTATGATGTACAAAGTGATAGCTCCAAATACCTGATCGTTTCTAGCTCTTCTTCGTTCTAGCAGTTTCTGCAGAAGTCATTGTGGTGAAATTTGTATAGGTGTCTGAATAAAAGGACACAGTAAATCCCCAATTTTAGAATGGCTTCACTTCAGAAGGCCCACCTAATTATCTTCTGGGTATTGGCGCATGGCAACTTATTCTTACAACACAATTTTCCGAGGAACATATGTAACATAAGTTGTAACGTTTTTATTTTGCTTATGAAGTTCATATTAGTTTAACTGCGTGATATTAACCTAACATTTGGTACAAATTCTTTTACTAATAGCTTCCAAGGAGTTAACTTTGAATCTTTCTGTTGCAACTTTGCCTATGATCATTTCATTTTGTCACCTTCTGTATGTATATGAATATACATATAATTCTTAGGGCCGGTCACTGAATGTCTGGTTAACACTAACTATAGGTTAAACATCGTTATCGACGCTATCGACTCCCTGTTATATGTATGTTATGGAATCGATCACGTCCATAACGATGTTTAACCTGCAGTATGTATTTTACATTGAGTAATCGGCCCTTAATTTCATATACTTGCAAATTTAACCCATGAACGACCAACATGACGTATGCGCCCAAGACAGTTTCACGCCGTTGTTTAAGCATGAAAATTTTATTAGATTACTGCAAGTTTAATATAGAAAGAAGAAACGAAAAAATTTTCGGGACCTCTCCTTAATATGTAGATTCATTGCTTAAAATGCTTATCGCGTTCTCAATTTCCTGTCAGCTGTCACTAAATTTTTATTGTTAAACTTTCCGCTTTGACTAATCATTTATAATACGATATATATGTATATATATATTTTTTTTTTTTTTTGATTACTACATACTCTTACAGTCAATAGCCAAAATATTAGCAGCATACAAATTACAAATCGCACTGCGCTTACTCACACTTTCTTTTCTACATTTAATATATACCTTTTAACTTATACTTTATATGTACTCAGCAACAGCTCATAATTTTAGGCTAGTTTAATTTTGAATTATTATTTTTTTTATGAGTGCCTTTTATTTTTACCTTTTACACTCTATGTTAAAACTTGTTCAAAATAATTTTAAATATCGAAAGCAATATACAAATAATACTAAAGCACTATAAATAAATATTTGTTTTTAATAAAAAAACTTTCACACAAACAAAAAAGGTAGAATTTAAACTAACAAAAAATACTATTAAAAATGGCAAACAAAAAGACTTGCCTTAAATATTTGTTCATCATTAAAATGTTGCTATTTACATAACTGTTTTGAGTTTGTGTACACATATGTTTCGCATAATATATGTGTACATATGCATGTATGTATGTATGTATGTATGTATGTATAACTGTTTACTATATATGCCACAATTCCATAATTCGCCTACTCCTTAATGCTGCTCGACTACGTACAAATAAAAACTAATTATCAAAAGTACTTTTTAGACAATTTGCTGTCATGGCTATTTAGTTTTACATAATTATATTTTAGTAAACTTTTGCCTGCTATAATGAACTTAGACATATCTATGTATGTATACCTAGGTGTGTATATATGTATATGATGCAGTAAGTGCGTATGTAGTGCACAAGCTTTTGTCTTGAGGAAAACTAAATTCCAAGTTCATTTGTACCATCATAATTCTAGCGAAATATCTTGATTGCAACATTTATTTATAACTATTGCTTTTTTTTTTAAGTATGTAAATCAAATGTAGTTAATGCCAAAATCCAATCGTAAGCGTATTTTTTATACAAATGCATAAAGCTGCTACTAGACCCAAGCCAACGGTCTCGTCGCTTGCTAGATAAATTCAATGACGAAATCAGCTAATTAGTTGTCTGTTTTTTGTCTGTTGTTTTGGTATGCGTAGCTGGTTCTTTCTTCTAAATGATTACTTGCCAATGTACATATGTACATACATAATATTTCAATGAAAACCTAATTTGCCTAATTAACGGCTTGCACGTCGCCTACTTTATCTTCAAAAGGCTCTATTACAAAACACGTTTACAAAACAAAAAAAATATGTATCTATCGTACAAAATTGTCTGTATAAATTTACATTAAGTAACTTACAAAATATACCACATACGCATAACTGTTCAATCATGTTTTTGTCACTAATTTATATTAACGTTGAACTAATTTTTTTTTTTGAAATCTACAATTCATGTTCAATTTATGTGACCTATTGTTGTTCCGTTTTTCTTCGAGTTAACATACTCATAAGCGTCAATAGCGTTGTGCTTGTAAATTTGAGTGTGGTGTATACTATGTACATTTGTGATCCTAAAAAAAAGATATTCGCATTTTTAATATATGCTCCGAATGCATTGCCAGTTATAGTTCCGTTTTCCGTGTCCGTTATAGTACGTCATTGCTCTTTAGTTTTTAGTTTGATTTGTAGTTGTCCAATCTTTGATTGCATACTCAATAATGTTGTTTTATTTCTGATAAATTTTTGTGTTATTCATCCCAAGTAAGGACTAACGCAGTTGATTTCTGTAGGGAAAGTGTGAATATTAGAAAATGTTAGTATAGAGTAGTACATTTATTGCAATAAATATGCATTAATTTAAATAGTATGATCAACTTATATCGATATATATATGTAACTACAAAACAAAAAATGAACAAAAAATGAACAAAAATTAATTATTACGTTAACTTATGTGGCTTTAATTTAGAGAAAATTGTAATACATAAATATCAGAATATACCAATATATGCACATGTACATTGTTTTACATAAAATTTAAGCTGCAACAATTTTTATGCCGTTCAGCAGTTTTCATGTAAGGTTATTTATACACATTAAATACTAAGAATACCGAATGAATTTCGTAATTGCATTAGTTCATTTACAGAACTATATATACATACATATATAAGTAACTAGTAGACAATAAGGAATATAGCAAATATAATATAAGTAGAAGTATACTAACTTTTGAAGGGATATTGTCAACAATTGTGACAATTACATAAATTGCCTAAAATTAAGCATTACACAAATGAAATGTACTTCACATTGACCGCATATTGACGTTGTTCAATCTTGAAAACCAAACAAACAAACAAACAATGAATGGCAATCAAGACGCGAACAAATGATGGTACATTTCATCAGAGATAATGTGGCTTAACTTTACTCCAAGTGACGCGCAGGTTCGATGCGAGTGAAGTGAAAAAGTGGAGTCGAATGGTAGTAGATTAGGAGTGTACCGAAATGGATTGACACGCATAAATTTGCTTGCTTTGCTTCGTGTCGTCGTAGTTGTTGATGTTGCTGTTGTTGTTGTAGTTGTAGTTGTTTAAAGATGTTGCTTGGTAGAACGATTGAGCGCACGTAGCACGCTGCACGCATTATTTACACTTATAAGCACTAAAGTTTTATGTGAAATTTGTATCCAAGCGAAGCGCTGCAGCACGCTACCCACACAACTGGCGCTTTTATTTATGTATGTTTTCCTTTTCTTCAGTTTTTTTTTATTTTTTTATTTTAAAACTTAACGCATACTATAAAACGTTCTACCATACTGGTCCATTTACCTGGGCCTTTGTCTGTTAAAAAAATACACAAAACGAAACAAAAAAACAAATTCAAAATTGACACAATTACACACAAAATGGTGGATAGTTAAACATAAATTGACCTAAATATATAAGTATGTATGTATATTTATTTGGAATGGAAATAAAAAAATATGCTGAATATGGGGGCGGCAATACAATTTAATTGTGGGTTTTTGTGGTTGTTTTGTTAATTGTTGGCAACTTGTTATGCTCTAAATTTATATACATACAAGCGAGCAGCAATTGCTACACTATTTGTTGATCAAGTTTGTGAATTGTTATGTACATATGCATTTTTTTTTTAATTTAGCGGTAAGCATTCAAGGTCTGTCGGCTATTCTCTGTGGCAGGCGATGCGGTGCGTTCGGTAAGCTGAAGTAGAGCCTCATAATGCATAATTTAAAATTTGGCTTTTTTTTTTTTTGAAAATAAAGCAAACCGAGGCAATGCATCAGCTAAGACTCGTGTGACAGTTTTTACAGTGTGTTTCAAAATAATGCAAATAAAACAAGTGAAGAACGTCAGCGGATGGACGGACAGACAGACAGACATGGCATGAGCATTCTGATATATACAGTATCGGTCATATCTATAGCACGCCATTTCAAAGTGATATTGTGTGCAACTTATGTTTATTTATTTATTTTTGAGAATTTTCAATTAAAATACAGTTCTTTCTCTAACAAACCCCATATAAACCCAAGCTTAACAATTTGTAGAAAACTTCAAAAAAGTGCAACAAATTTTCACCTAAATTTCAAACTTTTTTCTCGGAAGTGTTTGAATTTTTCTGAATACACAGTTTTATAGCCCAATCAATTTTAGTCTGATAATGTGCAATTTTCAGGTGACTGAAAGTTACCGTTGATTTTTTAGAATTTTTTTCGCCAAAGGTGTTGCGGTTTTCATCCATATACAAATAAATTGAGTTTATTCATTATATGAAAGCCAATGCGACAAAAAAAATTCTAAAAAATTAACGGTAATTCGTAGCTACTTGAAGTTTGCATATTATCAGACTAAAATAGCAGTGGCTAAAAAACTGTGTACTCAAAAAAATTCTAACACTTCCGAGAAAAAAGTTTGAAACTTAGGTGAAAATTTGTTGCCATTTTTTGAAGTTTTCTACAAATTGTTAAACATGGGTTTTTATGGGGTTTGTTAGAGAAAGAACTGTATTTTAATTGAAAATTCTTAAAAATAAATAAATAAGCATAAGTGCCACACAATATCACTTTGAAATGGCGTGCTATAGATATGACCGATACTGTATAAATTAATAATAAACAATCATAAAGCAAAAAGTTCTCTATCTTGTAGAAGTGTAAAAATGCGGGTCCAAGGGGTTTTAGAGTTTAAAAAATTAAAGGTAAAAAGTTTTGTAAAGCACTCAGATGTTTTCATTTTATCGATCAAAATCTGCGCACCAACACATAACCGACTCCCAATTTATATTGAACAAAAATAAGCTCTTACATCCTTTTGTTATGTGAGTAGGCTTCATTGGTCAATTGTTCACGTGTTTTTTTCACTTTTTGCCGTAGATTTCGCTAAACAGCTTATTATCCTCAGGGACGAATACATGCATTAGTCACTTAAGAGTCCTGTACGGCCATGTTACGTTTTAAATGACTTTTGGCTCCGTTTATTTGGAAGTCGTTCATGACTTTTTTATAGAAATGGTAATTTGGTCTTTGATGGCCTGTAACATTCTGTTTAAATTGGCTTTTCATCCGAGTTAGAATGGCGATGCATTACCGATGACGAGGTAAATTTGGGAAGACCTATCTCGAATAGGAATTTTAATAAGTTATATTGCATTATTTTATCACAAAATTTCTTTATTTTCCCTAATTTTTTAAATTATAATTTACTAATTGCTTTAATTCTTCTATGTACTATATCGCCATTTTCATCAAATTTTTCAGGGCATTCAACCGTTTGAACAGCGAGTTGAAGTGAATTTTTTTTCTTGGGTTTAACGAAAAAAAATCTCCGTATCAAGGAAATTTTTATTCATTGATTTATTTATAGAATAAAAATATATATATATATGTATTGCGAACTGGAGTGATCGATACAGTTATAAGTCTATTTCTTTTTACATCGACATTTTGCCGACACGATCGATATTTTTGAGCTTCTACGCTTTTTAGCTTTCAGACACTGTTGTTCCACCTACTTATAAGTATGCCAATTAAAGCAATATATTAACTCATAATTACGCACGTCTTAATATTTTGAAACGCACTGTAAACTGTCTTCGACCGCATTACATATTCACTTATGTAACAACATAAATATTTGTACTCACCTAAAGTACTGTTCGTGCAGTGACTGTCGCTGGAATTCAGCAGCCTGTAAATACTATATTTATGCAATTAATGATGTTATTTATTTAACAAAATAAGGAGAAACCTGAAGCTGATCGGCGTAGGACATGCGCAGCAGAACATCCGGCTCTCTAGGCATAAGCATACTTGGGCGTGGATATTGACCAACATTCGCTGTTGTTACACCGGACATATGCAAGGAGAAATGAGTGAAACGAAAAAAAAATGTTTGTGAGAAAACATATTCAAATGGCCAATGCGATATATGAATCGCTGGCACGTATTTTATATACAAACTCACGTGGCAGTTGA